GGTTTCCCGTGATGTCCGGTACATATCATCACTCCATCGAAAACGCGTTCACTCTCTTCGCCCGCATTGTTGTGGTCTTTGACCGACACTTTCCACCGACCGGTGCTCTCGTAGTCGGCGTTCGGCTCCACGCGAGTCACTTCGTGACGGAGTTTGACGTACTTTTCGTAATTAAATGTTTCGTTGTATGCTTCAAAATATTTGACCTAGGTTGTATTTAAAAATGTTAAAATTATTAATCAGAGTAGGGATGGAGGAATTATTGTTTAACTTTATTTATTATGAGTACATTAAAAAAAATTGGTTGTAAATTATTATTTAAATGACAATATAATTTATATTGGAGTTTTAAGATTATGTTTTGTTTTATTAATTAAATTTATTAACAAAATATGTACTAATTATCAAATGTATCATGATCAATCATTCAAAACATACCACTTCTGTGTGTGTCATATAATTAGGCACTCGAGGGTCGGGCGGGAAGTCCGAGAAGGCGAACATCTCTTTGCTCGAGAAATTGAGCGTCGATTTGGCGACCGATCCGACGCCCTCTTCGGGCACCGGTCGGTACCGCCAGAGACCGCACGTATAGGCCGTCCGCTCGTATACCACGACATCGAAACCCTCCTCCAGACAGGCCTTGCAAGCGGTGGCACCCGATTGGCCGCCGCCTATGATTGCTATTGACTTACGCTTATCACTCATTATAAAGTTTTTTACTTTACTTTACAGTTATTTACTCTATTATAGTTTAGCCGTTAACAGTGTTGGTAAGTCTGCAAACAAACTGCAAACTATTTATGATTTTTACAATTTTTACTAAAATTAATTAAATTTTTTAATTGCAAATAATCATATGTTTTAAGGAATTTTATGTTTAATTTTATATTTAATTAATATAGACGTAGAGTAAAAATTAAAATAATTCTAGATTTTATACGTTAACTAGAAGTACCTGCTTTATACTCGCCTAAATTTTAATTATATTTTTGCACTTTTCCTCGTTTTAAGAAATTAACAAAATTTTATTAATGTTTAATCAATTATAAAAGTATATTATGTCATATCACATAAGTTTAATTACCTAATACTGTACTAGCAAATAATTTATTTGAAATAAAACAAAAATATATAAAATCACATTTAATTACTTAATAATTTCTGATTTTAGTAATACTATATCTGTCGACAAATTGTTTGATAACTTACCAACATAACTTATAATTAAAACAACAGTATTTTACTTTTATCATATTAAGTATATGCAATGTAATGTGACTTAAATGTAAACTAATGTAAACTTATGTATACTTTATATTTGGTTGACATAATAATATAAAATATTTTAACCATTCAAGTATTTATGAAATAAAATATATTTAACAATTAAATGTACATGTATATTATTTATAAGTACCTATTTATTTATTGAATATACATGTAAAAGCAGCCATATAAATATCAAATAATTAAATAAATAAATAACTATTAAATAACTATAAATAACACAATAAATTAATTTATTATTATTGAAAATAATTATCATAATTATTCTAATTTTGCTAATTGAACTAGTTTATTGTCACTATATTAAATATTGAATTTAGTTATTAGTAATTAATGTTGTACCAATACACAGTATAATTAAAACTACAAAGGCAGCAAATAAAATAATACATTGTACGTTACCCGGCTATTATAATTTTAATATTTTCAAATAATTTTATAGATCAATGCGTATAAAATGCATTATTGAGGTTATTAGCACTATTAAGGTTATTGCTAATAATTTATTAACAGTTTTACACGTTAACAAATAGCAAAATTAATTTACACACAATTGTTATTGTGGTAAATATCAATAACTCTAGCAAATATACAACAATTATTTTATTGTATATAATGGCATATATTAAAAATTGTCTAAAAATCCTATGGTGTAAGCTAAACATATTTACTATTACTAACCACAATGTATCAGAAGTTATGACCAAGTTTGAAAATTATGGCACTAAATACTATCTATTTGTATCAACCAGTTACGCTGAT